TTGTTTTTCTGACTGATTCATTTTTCACTTTTATTACTAAAATTCAGTGACATTGCGAAACATCGGAAAATTAAGTCTTTGAATTTACATTTACCTTTTAGTCTATACTATTAAACGACAACTTTGTACCATTTTAAATTTTCCATTGAAAGTAAAATATCCATGATTTTTTCAATGAACGCCAAAAACCCTTATTATAATCCAACAAATCCTCACATACTTACAGAGACGCGCTCGCGTCTGAATCTTTCCAGAAAAGCGCGCGAAAATATATAGCACGTAAAAACAAACGCGCGCGCGTCAAMATTTTCCAGGAAAGCGCGCGAAATTGAAAAGCCCGATAAAAAATTGAAGATACCTGAATTTAAATTTTACACTTCTCTTCTCTTCTTTTTTGCTAAACTTCTCCAAAATTTTGATGCCCTGTCGTCATTGCATGTTGTTGAGCCTCAGCTTGACCTGTCAAACTGGTATTACAGGCTAGACATCGTAGAGTGAACTTGGACACATTCGTGAATTTACGATTCTAAGAAACATCAAATTCATTTATTATTCATAAAGTAAACACAATAGAAAATCATTGACGTGACTGCATCTTTATTTGAGAAATAGATTCGTCCTGATTTGCATACGATTTTAACTTTGATTTTCTCTTAAAAATGATATTTTATCTTGACGTTTTTAGCAAAATATGCTTAATCTTGTGTTAGTATTTGATAAGCAATACAAAATATCTGCGTCCGACCATTATGGGCCACTTGCAGCAAAGGTCTCCCGCTCATATTTTATATATATTACTTAGGAACCGTTTACACTTGCAATTTTTGAAGCGCGATTGTCGCGCGATAATCGCCTAAGTTTCGAACATGCTTGAAATTTAGCTGCAACTCGCGAGGATTTTTGATCGCCACGACAATCGCAGGGCTGTTTACACGTACGATTTGAGTTGCGCGAGAACAAAGTGGCGATTGTCGCGCGACAATCGCGCTGCAAAAATCGCAAGTGTATAAACGGGCGTTTAGAAAGTTTCACTAGGACATTATTACTTAAAGATGCGCGTTTTTTTAAGACCCTTCAAGCGATATTTTCACGAAAATCGCTGATCTCTCATTTTGAACAGGTCGGTAAGCCGTTTTTTTGATATGGATCAATATGGATAGAACGCATGGAAGATTAAGCAAATAAGTGAACTCTTACTAATGATCGTATAAAATGGAAAAACGACCAAAACATACCTTTTTAGCATCTGCAGCTACTTTGAGTGCTTGTATTAACCGTGTTTCATCTGAACAAGGGAAAACTGTCTGTAGGGGGAGGGGGTCAGTACCATTGTGCACCCCCAGGGGGTCATAGTGAATCCCATCATAGATTAAAAATACTCGATTTTTGTATTTCCCATCTTCACCTTAAATTAAAACAGAAATTAAATAGAATAGTCTCCTTCACGGTTCCCTGCGCCATCTTGAAAGGTAGCCGTGCCTTGTCATCGAAGCGAGACGACCGTTGAGCTTGCAATGATAGAAACCTTTTTTCACGCCTACAGACAATTATTCACAGGTTTCTATCATTGCACGCTCAACGGTCGTCTCGCTTCGATGCAAACGCACGGCTACCTTTCAAGATGGCAAAAGTAACCGTGAAGGAGACTATTATAGAAATGAGTCAGAAATAGCAAATGTCCCTTCCTTACCAAATCGATCTATTCTCTCTGTTTCTGTGTCRACAACAGCTATTTCTACCTCATAATATTTACATAATATTGAAAGCTCAATGGCACCTAGGAATTAATRTGAATAAAGATTAGATATTGATAAAAGATTGAAAAGTTACTAGTTCCAGTTAAACAAGTTGTCAAGCATCTGATTACTGTTACTGACTTAACCTGTCAGTGTCAGATTTAGGGGTGGGGCCTTGGTGATCCGGTGCCCCACCCTCCTCCCCCCTTTTCGGAAAAATGAAATTCTGGTACATTTTTTACAACAAATGAATCTTCTAAAATAAAAAAAGTGAATTAGCTAGACTAGTTTCTTAATTAATTTGCTAATTTTAGTGGAAAATTTCTATACGTTCTCCAAACTAATGCATCATGTATATTTCCCGCCAAACATTTCCTGCCATTTTAGTGCACCCCCCTCCTGGATCCGGCACTCATCAGTGCAAAAGCATTCAAAGAATTATGGCAATTTTCACAATTTATACAGCAATTTTCACAATTAGAAAAGTTAAGTATTAATCAGTAATACCTCCCCAGTTGTCACAATTTTGTATCCAGCTACAATATTCACTGTTGTCTTTGCCAAGAAATGCTGAATTATACATCTCTGGGTCACTTGAAACACACTTGGCAATCAAGTGTCTTAGATCTGTTGCCATGGATACATCTCCTGTCATTACGTAACTATGGATGYAAATAAAGAATGTTGTCAGTATGCCGCTGTCAATACACCAATTTCCATTTCTGGTTTGCTTTTGTAGCCTGCGTAGCCTGCAGGCTTTCTGGCTGCTCTGAGAGAGAGGTTAGGACTGAGAATCTGGCCTAAACTCTCTCGGGACAGCTAGGAACGCCTGGCCATGGTTTGATCTGTGTTAGCCTCAAAAACCAAATAACATATTCTTTTGTTTCATTGATAGCCCAAGAAAACGCATGGGATTTGAGAAGAAAGACTGTCACAATAGAATTGATAGCATCTCATTCTCTTATACTCAAAATAAGGAATATTTGGCAC